CGTGATGAGAATATGCCACAGAGATGCGTTTTACATACAATAGAAGGACGCACGTACGAGACTATGATAAGAAAGCCTAGTGGTGACCCAACAATTGGAGAAGGTTGGCGTCAGTTCATTGTTACAGAGGGCATTGAAATTGGTTTCAAATTGAATTTCCTTTCAACCAGCAACCTAGACTATTTAATCACAATCATTGACCGCAACAATCGTACTCGGCTGCCACAACATACTTTCAATCTCGATATTAAGCACACACATGTTCAACGTGTCCGTTTGGTAAGTTTAATAAATTTCATCTGGCTGCATAATTAACTTGTTTGTTATTTATATACATATAATACATATAAATTACTTTATTCCTGTAGCCCATACCAGTGCCTTTCTGGAGGGAACATATTGAAGGCAAATTTTCTCAATACCACCGCGCATCTATAAAAGTTGGAGAACGAGTTTACATGGTAAACATCACTCATGGAGATGATGGAAGGAAAACATTGCAGAATGGCGACGCTCTACAAATGTTTGAAGAAAATGAAATCTTAGAAGGGTCAACCTGCACTTTCTTCCTTGTGCAAGATGATGTAGACATGATCCAATTTAGGATTAAGATGTAGTGAGTATGATGGAAATGTTATTTAAAAACTTATTTATTGTTGGTCTAATGGATGTTTTGTTATTATTTAATGTCATTTGGTATCTTTTGGTCTTTTTGTTAGAAATGTTTGTTAGTTATTCTAACCTAGCAACAAGATATATCTAACATAGCAGCACTGGACAACTAACCTAGCAAGAAGATAGAACTAACCTAGCAACAACAAAAAACAAACCCTGCAACATGCTAGAGCTAACATTAAATCGTCAGACAACTAACTTAGCATAGACAACAAAGAAATACATAAACTAGCAACATCAGACAACTAACTTTGCAACAACACACAACTAACATAGCATCAACTAACCCAGCGGGATTAAAGAAATAACCTAGCAACTTCAGACTACAAACCTGGCATTTATAGACGACTAACATAGCATCAAAGACAACTAACCAAGCGGTTAGCAGCAAGAGATAACTAACCTAGCAACAAGAGACAACTAACCTAGCAACAAGCGACGACTAACTTAGCAATATTTATATCATATGAAAAGTTGGGGTATTTAAGTCGGGTAGTTATTGCTCAGTAATGGCAGACTTCATATAAAGTGGACAAAAATTAGGGTTACACTGCATTGTCAAAGGCTCAAATAATTTTGTGCCGTCCTGCCAACGATAACGAATATGGATCACCCGACTATGGATGAGATGAATGACGATAACGAATACTCACTTCCATGGTTCTATATCTGTGTTGTGCCAAGGGTTCTCCACTATATGGTAAAGTTCTTTGTTTTAATTCTTCTTTTAATAACGCAATGTTACATATAAAAAGCACACTTCAACTGAAAAAAGAAAATATGCTGTGATTTTCCAGCCCTTTCCACCATCAACGCACTACTATTTCCCCGATGAGGATCTGTCCCGGAGATGCATTATACATACATTAGAAGAACGCACGTACGAGACTGTGATAAAAAGGATTGATGGCTGCCCAACAATTGTAGATGGTTGGCGTCAGTACATTGTTACAGAGGACGTTGAACTTGGTTTCTTATTGACCTTCAGACCAACCAGCAACTTAGACTATGAAATTACAATCATTGACCGCGACGATTGTAGTCGGCTGCCACAACATACTTTCAATGTCAAGATTAAGCCCACACATGTTGAACGTGTCCGTTTGGTAAGTTTAATAAATTTCATCTGGCTGCATAATTAACTTGCTTGTATTTAAATACGTATAATACATATCAATTACTTTATTCTTGTAGCCCATACCAGCGACTTTCTGGAGGGAACATATCGAAGGCCAATTTTTTCACTACGACTCCGCACGTATCCAAGTAGGAGGCAGAGTTTACAGGGTAAACATTGCTCAGGGAGATGATGGAAGGAAAACTATGCAGAATGCCGACGCTCGACAATTGTTTGCAGAAAATGCAATCTTAGAAGGGACAACCTGCACTTTCTTCCTTGTGCAAGATGATGTAGACATGATCAAATTTAGAATTAAGATGTAGTGAGTGTGATCGTTGTGTCTGATGGAAGAAAACTTGTTTACTGTATTTTGAACGATGGTCTTATGGAAATGTTTTGTTATAAATCTTATTTGATGCATTTTTTGTTATTATTTAATATCTTTTGATATCTTTTGATCTTTTTGTTAGAAGTGTTTGTTATTTATTCTAACCTAGTAACTACGTATATCTAACATAGCATTACGATATAACTAACCTAGCAAAATGATAGAACTAACCTTGCAGCCACAAAATGCAACTAACCTTGCTAGGTTAGTTGTCTGAGTCTGCTAGGTTACCTCTTTCTCGTTGCTAGGTTAGTGAACTTAAGGTGCTAGTTTAGTTGTTTATCGTTGCATAGCTAGTTATCAGTAGGTGCTAGTTTAGTTGTTTATTGTTGCTAGGTTAGTTATCTGTAGCTTGAGAGAACTAACCTAGCAACTGGTGTACAACTAAGCTATCAACTGCATAGATATAACCTTGCTAGCAACATAAGACAACTAACCCAGCAGTTTGGTTATATCTAACATAGCAGCATGATATATCTAACTTAGCAACAAGATATATCTAATATAGCAGCACCGGAGAACTAACCTAGCATCAATAGACAAATAACCTAGCAGCTACAGACAACTAACATAGCAACAAGAAACATTTAACATAGCAGCAAAAATTAACTAACCTAGCAACAAGAAACAACTAACATAGCAGCTCAAGACAGCTAACCTAGCAAGAAAAGACAACTAACCTAGCATCTACAGATAACTAACCTAGCAACAAGAAACATTTAACCTAGCAGTAAAAACATAACTAACCTAGCAAGAAGAAACATTTAACCTAGCAGCATAAAATAAATAACCTAGCAGCAAAAAATAACTAACCTAGCAACAAACTAAACTAACTCAGCTACTCAACATTTAAACTACTCAACTAACTTTGCAACTTTAAGCAACTAAACTAGCAACTACAGAATATTAACCTTGCAATTCCTTGCATAAAAAATAAAACTAATATTGCATCAAAAAATAATATTTACATCAAAAAAATATACAACTCCAAAAAAAAAAAAAAACATTGTTACTGAAATCAAACTACAAGTCAATTGTCTTTGAAATGGACATTCTTCACCCTTTTGGCAGGTTTCTTCTTTCCTCCAAACACATCTGCCTTCTTATCGTTTTCTGATTTCAGCTCATTGAATTCATTTAGGACAATTTCCGAGCAGTATTTAATACGCATTTGTTTCAACTGCTCAGGATTATCCTTTAGAAGACCAGAGTTCCAATTTTTAATGCCAGCTCCAAAATATGTTTCCATGTGGCGCATGACGAACACTCCACAGTCTACTTTATTCTTGTCATCTCTCCATGGAAAATCAAGTCTGACTGGCTTCAATTTGGAAACAAGTGATCCACATTTGTCCATTCCTTGGGATTTCAAATATTCAACAAGTAGTTTTTTCTGAAAAAAAATAAAAAAAAAAAAGAAAGAACAATTATTAAAAATGTATTAACATTGCATGATATAATATTAAAACTGTATATGCATTGTTCTAAAATTAATTTAAAAATATTAGAGATTATTACCAGATTTATATGTTGAAATTCATATTTTCCACATGTAAGGCCACCAACAGAAGAATTGTCCAGTATGTGAATGTGATATGCTTTCAAATCAAAACAGACCACATAGAAGTGCTCACTCTTGCACACAGGAAAGAATATCTGATCAAAAAATAAAAACCATATAATATTAGCATGTTAGTAACTAAATAAAATAATCATTTCCAATTTAAAAATGAAAATTACCATATCAACATCTTCAAAATTAGAATGAGTCTTTGAATTTCTAAAATCATTATTCAAACTCTCGATGAATAAAGAGGCTTTGGACTTCAAATCCCATTTCTGCCCAGCAATCGGGACGCTGTAATTCTGGAAACAAATGAAAAAAATATCTTATAAAATAATAAATCAAATATAACTAAGCTAATCAAATATGTTATACAAATACCTAACCTAGCACCAAAACATATCTAACCTAGCAGCAACAACAGACATGTAACCTAGCAACATCAGAAATAAAACTAACCTAGCAGCAGTATATATCTAACGTAGCAACAGGTCATAACTAACCTAGCAACTTCTGACAACTAATCTAGCAACATCTTACAAGTACCCTAGCAACTACATATATCTAACCTAGCAGCACCAGAAATAAAACTAACCTAGTAGCAGTATACAACTATCGTAGCAACAAGTGGTAACTAACCTAGCAACTTCTGATAACTAACTTAGCAACTACAGAGTACTAAACTAGCACCATCAAAAAACAACTAAAATTGCACCTTCAATGTAAATTCAATAACAGGAAAATACCAAAAACAAAAAAAAATTAAAGTAAATAAGAATAAAATATATAAGTAAACTTACACTAGAGTATGTTGATGCAAAAAATCTCAACGGCTGGCCAGGTTTTCTGGATTGTTCTCTTAAGTTCAAAATTCTGGACCAGGTATCAAGTACAGAGACACTGATATATTGATCTGGTCCTAAAGACTTGAGACCTTCTTTCATTAAAACTAGACCATCGTTCTGAAAAATTATTTCATACCTGACAGAACAAAAATAAAAAAACAACAATAAAATATAAATTTGGAATTAATAAATGCAATAAAATGTGAAAATTATATTAAATTTCTTGGGTAAGAAAATATACATTGTCTCCTCATCTTCATGCAATATCCAATTATATATTTCTTCATCTCTTGCACCTGCTTTTGATATGTTCATTTGTTTTGCAACATCTTTCTCTTTTGCTTTTTCTTTCCTTTTTGCCTTCTCCTCTTCTTTCTCTTTCTGCTTTCTTTCATTCTCCTCCTTCACTCTCTCTTTCAGCGCTCTCATTTTGTCTTCTGTCTCTTTCTTCTCTCTCTCTTGTCTATCCTTCTCCTCTCTCTCTCTCAGCTCTCTTTCTTTCTGCTGTTTCTCTTTCTCCTCTCTCAGTTTCTGGTCTCTTTCTTCCTCCTTTTTCCTCTTCTTCTCTTGCTCCTCCTCTTTCCTCTTCTTCTCTTGCTCCTCCTCTCTCTCCTTCTTTTCTCTCTCATTCTCTTCCATCCTTTTCTTTTGTCTCTCTTTCTCCTCTCTTTCCTCTCTTTCTTTCTCCTCTCTCTCTTTCATCTCTCTCTCTTTCTGCTGTCTCTCTTTCTCCTCTCTCTGTTTCTGCTCTCTTTCTTCCTCCTCTTTCCTCTTCTTCTCTTGCTCCTCCTCTTTCCTCTTCTTCTCTTGCTCCTCCTCTCTCTCCTTCTTTTCTCTCTCATTCTCTTCCCTCCTTTTCTTTTGTCTCTCTTTCTCCTCCCTTTCCTCTCTTTCTTTCTCCTCTCTCTTTCTTTTCTCTCTTTCCTGTCTTTCTTTTCTCTCTTTTTCCTTTGCTTCTTTTTGCATCCTCTCATTCTCCTCTCTCTCTCTCATTTCTCTCTCTTTCTCCTCTCTATCTTTATCCTGCCTTTCTTTCGACTGTCTCCCTAACTCTTCATCTGTTTGATTCAAAAATGCAACAACATCTTCAGAAACTAGTTCTTCATCTGCCTCTATGTCTTTCTCTTTCTGCTTCTCTGTGACTTTCACTTTTTCTTTTTCAAGTGCCTGTCTCTCTTTCTTCTGCTTCTGTTTCTCAGCCACAAAGACAGAGATAGGTTGGTTCTCTATGATCTCTGGCTCAACATCATGATCAGTTGCAAACTGCCTTGAAACATTTAAAATGTCCTCCCAACATCTGTCACTTTCTTGGGACTGGGAGGACAACCCCAATCCCAATGAAAAACTGGGAACATCATCAGCTTGTGTCTTCTTCTTGTATGCAGCTCTCTTCCCAATAGCATGCTCAATCTTCTCAATAGCTGCAATTGTTTCTGGATCATTCCAGAAAGCAGCTGTTTCTTCACTATCCTCAAAAGAATCTGTCTTCTGAGAAGATTGAGGTACATTGGGACTAACAGAAATAAGATTTTCCGTTGCTTGTTGTATCTTCTTGTAATTTAAATCCTCGGTCACTTCGTGGGGAGCATCTTCAAGCAAGTTTATGACATCAACAACATCAGTGGCCAAGCACATAACCTTGCTTAGAAGCTTGGATTTATAACCCTGTTTATACATAAAATTAAACAGAGTGAATAAGAAAATTAAACAACTAACCTAGCAACAATAAACAACTAACCTAGCAGCAAAAGACAACTAACCTAGCAACAAAAAACATTTAACCTAGCAGCTAGAGATAACTAACCTAGCAACAAGAAAGAACTAACCTAGCAACATCCAACAGCTAACCAAGCAACAATAAACAACTAAACTAGCAACAAAAAACATTTAACCTAGCAACTAGAGATAACTAACCTAGCAACAAGAAAGAAGTAACCTAGCAACATCAGACAACTAACCTAGCAACAATATACAACTAACCTAGCAGCAAAAAACAACTAAACTAGCACCTACAGACAACTAACCTATCAACAATAAACAACTAAACTAGCACCTAAAGATATACCTAAAATAATTGCAATACAGACAAATAAAAAAAAAATACCAACCTGAACACAATCATCGGACACTTCCTTTTGTTTTGATTTTATTGACAGTAATGGCTCCAAACGTTTATCAACAAAACCTCGGCCAAAACCACCAATTTTGGCCTCAGCATTGGATCTCTTGCGCAACAGGTCACAGTTCCAACCAATAAAGGAGGGCAGACTCCTTGGAACTTCACGATTTACAAAAGCAACCCGATCAACGTATAAAACCTGCATTTTGGGAGAAAAAAAAAATTATATATATATATAAGAAAATGGAATACAAATTGTTTAAGAATAATATAAAAATACATTCTTACAACGAGGAAAAGAAGAGGCCCATTAAAAGCAGTCTTGTTGGTCTTTTCCCATTTCATTCTTTTTGAAATCAGACTTTGAAGAGTGTATTCACACCAATTCAAGTCAGATACATGTGTTATGTCATTAATGGACTTGAAGAAGAGTGGGTTGACATAACCAGCAGATATTGATCCAATTATCAGAGCATCTACCAAAGCAGCAAAATGACAACAGAACATTTCACCACCATTGTGACACTCCAACATTTCCTTGCTCACACTTTCAGCAGTGATTTTGTCAGCAGATTGTGTAAACTTACTCCTCCACTTATCCAACAGCTCACAAGACTCAGATTTCCTCTTCAATTCAATAGTCTTATCTCCTCTAGGAAATCCTAATACCTTCTCCACATCAACAGATTCAATGTGGATTTTTCCCTCACTGCAACGCAATACAGAGCTAATTGCGTCAAAATTATCCAACACCCAGAAAGATAAATTGGTTGGAATCTTTTTAATCTTAAGGTGCAGCAAATTTCCAAAACCCATTTTCTGTACAGCTCTTTTCTGATCATCATTTAATTTGGCAATGTACTCAACCAACACTTTTGGAGAAGACCGTGTTGAGAGTCTTGGGAAATGAATTTTAACATCAGGCTGCCGTTGACGAGCTTCACGTACAGGCTTGTGAGATGAACCAGTCAGCAAAAGAATATCATCATCCCTCTGAGACTCCATTTGTTCAAATTAAACTGAGTTACAAAAAAACAAAAAAAACAAAAAATGTCAAATAGATATTACAAACCTTGCATCACACAGAAAAGTAACCTAGCAGCATCAAGAAACTAACATAGCAGCAGAAGACAACTAAACTATTAACATCAGACAACTAACATAGCAGCTACAGGTAAATAACATAGCAACATCAGAAAACTAACATAGCAGCTGAAAGAAACTAACCTAGCAGCAGAAGACAACTAACCTAGCAGTAGTAGACAACTAAGCTAGCAACATCAGATAACTAACATAGCAACATCAGACAACTAAAATAGCAGCAAAAGACAACTAACATAGCAACATCAGACAACTAACATAGCAACATCAGACAACTAACATAGCAGCAGAAGAGAACGAACCTAGCAACATTAGACAACTAACCTAGCAAACATCAGACAACTAACATAGCTGCATAAGACAACTAACCTAGCAACATCACACAACTAACATAGCAACATCAGACAACTAACCTAGCAGCAGAGGACAACATCAGACAACAAACATAGCAGCTACATGTAACTAACTTAGCAACTTCAGACAATTAAAATAGCAGCAGAAGAAAACTAAAATAGCAGCAGAAGAAAACTAACCTAGCAACATCAGACAACTAACCTAGCAGCAATAAACAATTAACATAGCAGCAGAAGACAACTAACCTAGCAGCAAAAGACAACTAACCGAGCAACATCAGACAACTAACATAGCAGCTACAGGTAACTATCTTAGCAACTTCAGACAATTAACATAGCAGCATCAGACAACTAACCTAGCAGCAAAAGACAACTAACCTAGAAGCAAAAAGACAACTAAGCTAGCAACATCAGACAACCAACATATCAGCAACAGGTAACTAACGTAGCACCATCAGACAACTAACCTAGCAGCAAATATAACTAACCTAGCAACATCATACACTAACCTAGCAGTATCAGACAGCTAACTTAGCAAAAAATAAACAAAACATATTACTTTAATCTATTAAATGAAAGAATGAAAAACTTAAATCGAAAAAGTTATTACAAACAAAAACAACAGCAAAAATACTCACCAATTTAAGACGAGAATCAGCGAAATCACAGAGAATCTGCGAGAATAGACTACGAAGGATAAAACGGAAACAGAAAGTAACGCCCGAGAAATCGAAATCGAAATCGAAAATGGAAGAGAATGGAACAGAAACAACGAGCAAGTGCGAAAATGGAGAGGGAAAGTAGAGTAGAGAGTTCTGAAGACGTACCGCCAGCGAAATCAGAAATATTGATTAATGTACTAAATTAATTCTGAACGTTAGATTAGATAAGTGGTGAACGGACCAGATCAGGTCTCACGTCCTCACTTTTAAAAACGGGGCGCATCTGAACCATTCCCTATATATATATATATATATAACCCTAGATAAATATTGTTAAATTTTTTTATTTAAAATTGATATAAATATATACGTTAATTGGATATTAATTTATAATTATGTACCATGCCAAATTAATATAAATAAATAAAATATAATACTAAATAGAGCGTCACGTCCTTGACTCTACTTTCTACTCCGGCTACAAAGCCAACTAAATCCCATGTTATATATATTATAATAGAAAGCACAATTTAAAATATTGCAATGTATTTTAATTAATGAAAATAAAAAAGTTCCACTAAATGAATCCCAACTTCTATTTCCAAATGTTACCAACATTTAAGTTTTACCACCTCATGTCTCAATAAAGAACTCAACAAAGCCTTTGCAATTTTCACCTCTCCAAACTCCAAAGGCAATGATCAGTTAGCAATGTACAACATATCATTTTCCCTTATTGTGGGTGAAACATTGTTGCCTGACAACATGGACGCAGCCTTATACCCAAATGTGATTGTTAACAAAATCAAAAGAATATTATGTACTTTAAAGTAATCACAAAACGCTGACAACGTTGTTCAACCCATGAAACAATAGGCATAATTATGTATTGTGATCAAGGAATTATTGAAAAAGCGGCCTAAATTTTTTACTTTAGCTTTTCCTTGTTCATCAATAATTAATTATTCCCACATTATGGAAAAAGTGAAATCATATTGCTACACTTGTAATTTCCTCGTCTTCTACATAAGCACTTTAATTAGAATGGTTAAGAGAAGTGGTTGCAAAAGAAAATAAAGTAATTATTGTTATTATTGTTATAAATATTTATATTTATTGTATGGTATGGTGGTTAAACCCACCATGACCAATAATATATTTTATTATTAAATAATGTATGTGAATGACTATTTTGTCTTTGATGTAATTGTATTATTACGATTGTGACATCAGAAGTTTTCCTATAAATAGGAGTTTCAGTTATAATGAAAAAAGAACCCAAGAAAAAACATTATATATATTCTCTCTATTTCTCTCTTGTTTTATAACACGTTATCAGCACGAGCGTTCTACCCGGTCAGAAAGGTACGAATATATTTACTTATGAATTACTAATATTTTAAAAAAAATAACTTCATGTTATTATAAAAATACATAATATTATTACTTGTAATTAACACCCACAAAACGGTTTACCTAGTAGTGTGGAGTGAAATTTATAACTACTTATTATTGTACACACCGAAAGATTTATCGAGTAAGTGTACTCACCGAAAGAATTATCGAGTAGTGTAGAGTGACATTTTTATTTGTTTTGTTACTTGTATTTACTAAAAATGTTCACCTAGTAACTCGGAGAAATTCTAAAATAATATGCATGATTAATTATAATTTTATAATCATGAATAATATAATTAATAACTATTATATCAATAATGTGTTTTTATAAAATAAAAAATAAAAAAAAAATCCAACCGCTAATTAACGGTTATTTTGCAACAACTATTTATCAATCAATATATATAACACTTCACTTCATGTATTAATACTCACTCCAAAATATTACAATATATTCTCCTCACTAAAAAAAAAAATATTTGATCTATTATTTATAATTACCGTTATATTGGTTATTATATACGCTTTAGGAACTTTTACGATGTTGTATCATACTGTTGAGTTTATATTTTATGTATTAGGTTTTTTTCTAATGTGTTTCTTATTAGCCGGTCTGATTGCTTTAAATAATGAATGATTGTATTTGTAATTTCTTAAATCTAAGCATTAATGTTGTATTTTGTGACATCACTGAAAAAAAAAATTATTACATTTCATGGACATGTGAATATTTATGGATTGATCCATGTGATATGAAATATGTAGTGCCAGAAGCACATGTAAAAAAAAAAAGTTAATTTATCACATTAGATATATATGATAAAATTACCTCTTATATAAGACTATAAATTTTATTGATTTAATTGTTCTAATTTATGAGCATGTCTTGTTTGATATGTATCCTATTATTCTTAACATTAGTTGTTAATATTTGAAAGTGGTAACATGTATGATATGTCCAGTAGACATTATCTTCTATATAAAGATTTTTTTTTTAATGTTGGGGCAAAACTATTATTTAAATATATCTTAATTGTTATACTCCTGAAGAGTTATAAAATAAAAATGCTCACATATATATTATTATTTTGTTAATGCCTCTGAAAACGAATGAAGCGTATATGGATAAATATTAAAATGTGACTTATATATGTTGTTTGGAATATATATGGTGTAGATATCAAAATATGCAGTTACGAAATGAATTTATTTTGGAAAGTATAGTTGCATATTTTGTTTCGTTGTTTTATGGACTTGGTCCAAATTTATTGAGCCTAAATCAATTTGTATATATTGAACTTTAGTCAAATTGACTAGTGAACCAAATTATTGGTATGCAACTTTTATAGGTATTTTCTAATTATGTCATGAATTGCAAAGAAAATATCTTGTTGAATATTATGTCTATAAATTTGAGTTTCCCTGAATAATTACATAATTAAAAGTATCACTAGTATATTTGAATACAAAACTAGATTTGGTTATCTATGAAGGATTGGTCCTATTGACCAGTATCATAATTGCATAAGAATTATTTAGCGAGTATCTTTGAAAGATTAATCTAGTAAATAATCTCATTGAATTTTAGATAAATTCATTATATTTTGATTTTGGATCGATTCTGCATATTCAATATACTCTTAATGAAGGCATGTAACAAGAATGTTACAAAAAAATTGAATCAATATACAAGTTTTTTCAAATTATTTATATTTACTTGTATATTTGATAAGATGCATACTATTGAATATATTATCTATAGCTACAATAATAAATTTATACGTAATACCCGAAGCACATAATATTGTTGATAGCTACAATAAAAGGCTCACAACTAACGTTCGATTATAGTGCCTGAAGCATATGGTGTTCACTTAGAAATAAATTATTATAATTCGATGCCCAACTTATATATTTGATAATTAGCATAAGCATTGGATAATATTGTGCAATTATTTTTTCCCAAAATGGTGCGTAGAAAATAGAACATTTCCCATCTGCGATTTATTATTATTATGCACAATCTTATGTCACCACCAATTCTTACCTTTATGAGCCTATATTATGAACTAGGTTTGCTATGATTTTTATACTCCGTCGAATTTTTAATACCTAGAGGCCATTATAGGGGATCAATGTATTATTTGGTACGTATTTTGCATAATATATGAAAATGATTTCACGGCATTAGGGGGAGATATGAGCATAAATGTCGTGAAATATGTGGAATATTAATGTTTTCATTAATTGAAACCACGCAATAATATATGAACTTGAAGTTCATATTAGATTTCTGTCAAACGAAATTTATAGTAATAATGGAGTGAACAATTTGTATATATAAATGTACCACAAAGTAAGCAAATTCTCTAGAGACTGGTTGACTCCTTAATGCTAGAAGCATAAGGTGATATAATTAATATATGATGTATGAAAGTCCGCGGAAAATTTATTCAAGAATTAACACTCCTTTATAAGAAACTCCAAAAGAGTTAATCCAGTACATCTTGCACGTGCATCAAACTATTATAGTACTGAAAATGCGGAACAACCAAAATTAAATGTTAAGGGAAATGATTATAAATATGGCTAGAAAATATGAAGTTGTATATATGGTTGAGAGAATAAAAATTAAATATCATAGTTGTCGACAACATAATTGCCTATATGATTTCTTTAATATCTCAAATAATGATCCGGATCAAAATAATGAAAGTGCTAGAAGCGTGTAGGTTGATTAAGATAGAAAGGTAAATAAAGGCAGAGCTTCCACTCGCTACACGATATATCCCAGAAGGATAATGAATATTTATATGAAACATATGATATGGTGGTGTGATGTAAATATAGCGAGATTATGCTCATGGGTTTACGCAGAGACCCAAATTTTTATAAAAAATTCTCTCATTAACAATTATTCCGCAAGTTAATGTTTATGGCAGTAACGTTACCATGACTATTGAGTCATATGTGAAAGTCTTGAATGGACTAGAGTACTCGAGATGAAAGATAATTAAATAATAAATCATTTAATTATATAAAATTGTTGGTAAAATGTGGTACAACCAACAAAATTCTTCCTGAAGAAGTAAAGTAAGAAATTCAATGTAAAACCTTGTGTATAATGATAAGATACAAAATGATCAGCTCGGTCAAATAGATTATGTGGTAAACACTATATAAAAGACTAGTTCATTCTTATAGACGGAGTTAGAATAAAACTCTTGGTTAAATACCAAAGAATATTATCTCGACTTGTAGATCGAGCATCTACTAGAAGAAGTATATTTGACCTAACCATTCTAAATGAATCTCTTTTTAGAGATGTAAAATTATAACACCAATTAGTGGCAAATATTTAGAATTTGACAAATATTTATAAAGATCTAAAGAAACTAATGAGAATATTATAGGACCTGAATGTCTAATGGACTTGAAGTCCACAAACGACCTGAAGTTTATTTATTAAGTGCAATTGTTATAAAATTTTATCTCGCAAACTGCATCAGGCCTGATACTACATTTGCGATGAATTTGCTAGCATGAAAACATAAATCTTATAAACGTTTAAAAGATTTATGTTTTCATGAATGTTGAGTTGTCTTTGGACTTGATATATTGGTGGATAAATACATCAAATGTATAATTGATCCCCGAAGTATTGGGTAATCGATTGGTTATATACCCTGAATGTTAGAGTAGGGTACCCGGCGTTCCAATCTAATTGGACGTATTCTACTTGTAAATACAGTCTATTGGAATTATATTATGAATAAGGCATTTCTTTATCTTAAGAGAAAGCATTTATCTTATAATTGCACTTAAGATAAATTCCCTAGATTACTTATGGTTATAAGGTATGGTTGCGCATAGAGATGGTGATCATGGAACATACCTTGAAAGCCGTGATCTTAAATACAGTTCCAAGTCGATGGATGTTTCGAGATGGGATATCGAATAATCCATAAAAGACTTGCACATAGTTTGTATGCTTGTTGGACAAGAATGTTGCATTCCATCAACATTAGCGTAAGACGTAAGTACATTTATGTGGGTGCTTGTTAGAGAACAAGTTCACTGAACATGACCGTATGAA